AGACCGGTCTACATTTACTGGTTGGGTTATTTGTTTTTGAGTGTCTGATGTGCTGAGATGGTTGTGTGCTCTGTATACTAGTCTCCTGACAGGAAGACAGCTGTCAGAGCTTTCTCCCGTTCCGTCTCTCCCGTTCTGCCCCCCTCCCCCATCTGTTTGCTTCTTTGACTCTTCAGAAACTCTTTATTTTTATTTGTATGATTATTCAGAGGTTGTCTTCGAATACATACCAGAATAGGACATCGGATTCCGGTGTAGATGGTTGTGAGTCATCATATGGTTACTGGGAACTGGACTCAGGGCCTCTGGAAGAGCAGTCAGTGTTCTTAACCGCGGAGGCATCTCTCCAGCCCCAGAAACTCTTTACTCTAATACAACCCCATGTTTTAATTCTTACTTTTGTTCCCTGGGCTACAGTAGCCTTTCCAGTTGCCGCTAGTGATCTAGGGCTTGCGCTATTTCCTGTTGCTACATTAAGTCTTTGATCTATTCTGAGTTGCGTTTTGGTACGGGATGACAGATAGGGAAGTCTGTCTTAGCAAAGCTCTGTAGATTTCTCTGAGACATCCAGACAGCTCCTCAGTCTGTCCTACTCTCCGTGAGAACAGCATCGAGTCTCAAGTCCTCTGTGCTTTGCACGGTAGACGACCTTTCCCCTCGAGGTCACAGGTCACAGCCTTTAGGGATTTTCCAGGAGGGAAAGTGGAGTCAAGTTTGGGGCCTGGAGCCCTTCCTTATTCCAGCGCTGAGTGAGCTAGGGCCGCGCAGTGTGAGTCTGGTGCCATCTGGAGGCTGTGTAAAGTACTGGGTCATTTTGGGGACTGGAGAGCTGCACTAAATAATACCCAGGAAAAAATACCCTGGGTGCTTCCTGTACGCTATGGCTGCAACCAGTCTGGACATACATAGTCTTACTTTATTCAAGATAACCTCGTGTGACAGGTGTCACTATCCCAATCCTGAAGACGAGAACACAAGTTCAAAAACAGTCAGTAACCTGACAGGTCTCACACGTGGACAAGGTGGACTTTGACTTGGGATCAAAACTCTTCAAACACCTGTAAACATTTGTTCTCGTATTCTTCTAAAATTTATAAACAGGCAACATTTTAACATAGTTGAAAATTCAAAGGGCAAGGAGGAAAGACTCATCCATCACTCCCTGCTGGCCAGAAGACCCGGTTCTGAGCTTTAGGCTTCGTCATTATGGAGAGATTTAATCTACATTTAAGTGACTGTGTGGCCCTGCTTGGATTTTGTGGATGACACAGCTTCGGGTGCCTGGGAAGAGGGAACCTCAGTTGAGAAAATGTCTCTACCAGACTGTCCTTGAGCAAGCCTATGGTATGTCACATCAATTCATGATTGATGTGAGAGGGCCCAGCTCACTGTGGCATGTGTCACCGGGGCAGGCGGTCTATGGTTACATAAGATATAAGAAATCAGCAGAGCAAACCATGGTGAGCAAACCATGGTGAGCAAGCCAGTAAGCAGCGTTCCTCCTCAGCCTCTACTTCAGTCCCTGCCTGATTTCCCGCCTTGGCTTCCCTAAGAGATGGAAGTCTAAGGGATATCTGTAAACCAGATAACACTTCCCTCCCCAGCATGCTTTTAACCCTGCCTGGTGTTTATTGCAGCAATAGAAAGCTGTGATATGTAAGTGTATATATTTCTGCTTCACATTTTTCCCAAATAACAGCTCTCTAAATTAACTCCTCTGAAACGTACTGTCTTAATCAGGGTTTCTATTCCTGCACAAACATCATGACCAAGAAGCAAGTTGGGGAGGAAAGGATTTATTCAGCTTACACTTCCATGTTGCTGTTCATCACCAAAGGAAGTCAGGACTGGAACTCAAGCAGGTCAGGAAGCAGGAGCTGATGCAGAGGCCATGGAGAGATGTTACTTACTGGCTTGCTTCCCCTAGCTTGCTCAGCTTGCTTTCCTATAGAATCCAGGACTACCAGCCCAGGGATGGCACCACCCACAATGGGCCCTCCCACCCTTGATCACTAATTGAGAAAATGCCTTACAGCTGGATCTCATGGAGGCGTTTCCTCAACTGAAGCTCCTTTCTCTGTGATAACTCCAGCTTGTGTCAACTTGACACAAAACCAGACAGTACACTTACTTTCACACTGAAAGTGTGTAGCTATGTGAGACCCTATTTCACGGACGTGTCTATCAGTGGTGCAATCTGTGTTATATTGGTGAACCCCGATGTACCCGCTTAAGCTCCTTGGAAGTGGACTCTGGGGTCGAGGAGGCCCCTCCTGTGTCTCCTCCAATACTTCTGACCCTGGGTCAGGCTGGCTTCTAAATTGCCACAGGGAGGAAGGAAAATAGCAAATAGCTAAGGAGATTAAAGACAGTGTCCTTGAGAACATCTGGAAGGTGAGCTGTTTCTAACCATGGTTTCTATCGCTCATTACATAACATAAAGATGCCTGTGGTGGGGCTGGGAAGTTGGGGCCTCTTCCAGGGAGAGGATGGACCCTCCACCCTGAGCTCTCTCGACCCAGACTTCCAGCTGGTCCCAGCTGATGTCTCTTGGGAAACCAATTGGTGTGTTCTATTTGCTTCTCTCTGCTGTATGTTCTGAGCCCCTGTGGATGGTCTTCTGCTATTACCTGAAGTGGAAACATAAGAGTTCTTTGGAAAATCAGTTGTGTTGGATGGTGTTTTGCTGGGGCAAACACATGAAGGAACATTTCATGAGAGTGGACACAGGTATGAAAGGATAAGGCAGATTCGTGAAGGAACGTTTCATTGAAGCAGACACAGGAGAGAGGACGTTCTGCTAAAGCAGTCATGTGTAAGGACACGTGATGAAGGATTCTTCACTAACAACACACTTGTATTGGTCTGCTTTACATTGCATAGTTGAGCTGCATTTGTCAGGCCTCCATAGAGAGAAATGCACCAAAAAAAACTTCTGGTGGTGTGCTGCAGGTTCTTGTTGCTTCCAAGGACTTGGGCTGATTGGCAGAGTGATGTCAGCTGAGACAGACGCACATGCTAGGACAAGACCTGTGGAGGACACGTGATGTTCGGAGAGAGTATAAAAAGGACTCACGGACAGTGATGGGGGCTGAACTGGGCTTGCTGGTAGAGCTAGCTGTGCAACTCATTGGTTTCGAGTCTTTGCTGACCTTTGCTTCACTGAGAGAGACACAGCCAAGAACTTTTCCTGGCATTCCTCCTGGTCCCTCCTGCTGACTCAAGCCAAGGCTGAGGCCTGGCTGGCTCTGTTAGGCTGTGTCACTGGTGTTGCTATCCTGACTCTACTGAATTGGACTGCTGGTGTATCCAGGGAGTGTTTGCAAGTGGATTGAGCTGCCACTAACCTGTGAAATGAACTGTCAATTTCCAGACAACACAGACAGGAGTTGCTTCAAAGAACCTTTCTAAACAGACCCACTTCCCCCATATCTTTTTTTTCCCACTATCTCTGGTGGGTAGCAGGCTACAAGGGAGGTTAAAGTGTTTAAGAACCATCATTAAAGATAGGTTTTGAAAAAAAAATTAAAGTTACAATTTCCTGCTGCTTCTCTCTGTCTGCTACTGGCTATTTATTTATTCTATTTATTTAGCTTGCTATATACTTAATAGACACATTCATTTTGAAATGAAAAGTATAGTTTTTATAGATCATCTTCTGGGCCGTCCAGAACAAGCGGGTAGCTGGGTGATGATATTACAGATCTTTAGCCATCTCTCACAATGCCTTATTTAGATGCTAAAACACATGTATTCAAACATATCAATAGGATAAAATTCTATGCATCATATATACATCATTAAATTACCTTAGTAGGTAGGTATACTGGCTAATTTTGCTTTGTGCATGCATGTGTGTTTGTCACCTTGACCTAAGCTAGGTCATCTGGGAAGAGAGACCCTCAGTTGAGAAAATGTCCCCATCAGATTGTCTTAGGCAAAGCTATAGGACATTTTCTTTTAATTTGACTACTGATATGGACTGGTCCAGCCCACTGTGGGAGGTATAGTCTCGGGTAGTTTAAGAAAGCAGGCTGAGCAAGCCACGTGAAGCAAGCCAGTAAGCAGCTCCCCTCTGCTTCGGTTCCTGCCTCAAGGTTCCTCCCTGAGTCTTGCCCTGACTTCCCACAGCGATGGAACATAAGCTGGAGGGTGAAATCAACCCTTTCCTTCACTAGTAGCTTTGGCTGTGGTGGTCACCACGGCAACAGAAACCTGACCAATGCAGCAGAGGTTGATTAATTTATTAATTTATATTTCTTTCCCCATGTATTTTCAGCAGTGTTAATAATAATAATAATAATAATAATAATAATTTTATTATTATTTTGAGCCATGGACTGGTAGTTGTACCAGCTAATGTGTTCTGTAGAACCCCATCCTGCCATCTTGCTGACTTGGTCCCCAATGTTTTCTTATTCTGTCCTTATGAATATATTTGCATGATTTTATTCTTTCGAGAATTCCGTCTCCTCATCTGTCTGTCTGTCTTTGTTCTCCTCCCCCCTCCTCTCCTTGCTTGGCATACAAGATGCAGCACAGCCTGTCTTCTGCTTTTGCTGATGAGTCTGCATTGACCCCCTTTAAGCCACAACCCACCACCATCTACTTGGTTCAGCAGCCTCTGCTGTCAATGTCAGCCACTCTCTAGGAAGGGAGACCTGTTGGTCAGAATAATTCAGGGACCCTACTAAGTGAATACACAATAACAGGGACCCTACTAAGTGAACGTACAATAAACAACGTACCTTGTTCTAGGACCTCTTACTCTAGACTTTCCTCTCCTGATCCTGGTCCATTTCCCCACACTTAAACTGCCAACACTGACTCTCCAGGTAACCAGTTCTTGGCTTTTATAACACAGTGTTATCAAAGTGTTCTGCCTAGCAACAAATGATGTAAGCTTTTCACTTTTGATTGGTTAACAGTCTGAAGATGGTCCCAATCATAGGGAGGCTGCATAATTATCTATCTATATATTTTTTTTCAGTTGTGTGGAAGACAGCTTCACTCTAAAGAGGTGTATTGGTCTCTTCATTGTCCCTTTGTCCTTTCCAGAATGGGTTCTGGGAGGGCCCCCTGGGTAGTGGCTCTGCTGGTGAACCTTGTGAGGCTGAATTCCTTCATGACTGAAGGCAGAGACTCCCCAGGTAAGAACACAGAGGTTTGTTTCTGGGTGTGTTTTCTGGAATCAGCATGGGGCTAACTCCCCGACTCCCTGTGGACCAAAGTCTCAGAATAAAGTGGCTCTGACCTTAAAGAGTCACCTTACTCACCAGGAAGCTTTCATGACCTCCTCACCATCCATGATGAGTTCATGGAAAGGTCTTCCCATACCAAGACACCAAGATGCCAGGAGAGGGAGGGTGGAAGGAGATATTTTCCCCTGTTGGGTTCCTTGTGCATCAACATCAGACACCAGTACCTTGAAAGCTGAAGTCTGAGAGCAGCTGAGTCTCCCCTACAAGCTTCTACTCTTGTTATGGCTTACTGGTAGAACTGGAAATAACATCTCCCATCAACCATTAAGCTCCTGGTTAGCATTCAAGCATCGTACTGAGAAGTTTTGAGGTGTGAGGGAAGTTAAGAGCTCAGACAAGTTGAGTATGTTAATTATCTTTGGCCTCAGGTTGCTGTGTGCAACTTGTTTTTTAGCCATGGAGACGGGCTATGCAGACACCAGCGTTGTTAGACCATGAAAGCGCAGGGTTGTGAGCAGAAAACAGGATATGACATGCTAAGAAAAGATTCCCCTCTCATGTCAGAGTCTCAATAAATTCAGAAGAGGAACAAGCCTGGGGAGGAGCATCAGTTTCCTCTGAGAACAAAAACCGCTCTGAGTTTATCCTGTCCATTTGACAAAAGGGAAAAAAAATCATCACAGAGTTTTAAAGGATGATGAAACCCCACATACTTTTTCTTTAGCTTGTGAAGAGGGAACAGAGAAGGGTAGACACGCTGAGGGACTGGAGGCTGGTACGTCATCTGAACTTAGTGACCCTCAGAGGGGCCTGGATGGTCATGGAAGTCATTCTCAGGGGGAGGTTGAACTTAGGAACGAGCACAAAAACCATCATTCTTCAAGTCAGCAGCTTAGCCACTTCATGCTGGTCTGCCTGCTTTATCATTCTCAAGTGCACAGAACTGAGGTCACAGCATGCCATCATCACAAGAGGTCTTCCTCTTCCTGTCCCGCCTCCTTTGTCTTCTTTCCTCTCCATGAACACCATTCTAAGTGTGTCTTCAACACAAGTGTAGTGTTCAGAAACATAGAGTGGGGTGCAACATCTCAGTGGTTAGAGCCACATGCTGCCAAACCTGACGACCTGAGTTCAATCCCCAGGACCCACATGTTAGATTAGGGGTGTGTGTGTGTGGGGAATAACAGGGGAGGGAGGAGAGAGGAGAGAGAGGGAGGATGGGGATGGGGATGGGGGAGAAGGGAGGACACAGGGACTGTGGGAGACAGGGACAAGGGGAACCAGTGATAGGGGTCAGACATGGGGTGAGTATGGGGTGACAGGGTGAGGGAGGGGTTGGGAGAATGATGATGAGGAAGGACAAGGTGGTTAGGGATGGGGATGGAGGAGATTGGGGTGGGGGAGATGGGGTGAGGGGATGACATGGGGACTGGGCTGTGGGGTCAGGGGACAGGACTGAATGGGACAGACTCACTCCTGAAAACTGTTTTCCCCATAGAGTTCACATTTTAAATAAATGCCATTAAGCATTGGGTGACATTCTGTGACTTTGTTGTTTAACGTTGTGTTTTAGAGCACATTGCTATCTGACTTAGTGTACCAGGTACAGGCTTTCCCAAAGGTGCAGCTGGTTCCTAATCCTTTTATGGTTTCCAGAGGATTTTGTGATTCAGGCAAAGGCAGACTGTTACTTCACCAACGGTACAGAAAAGGTACGCTTCCTGGTCAGGTTCATCTTCAACCTGGAGGAGTATTTACATTTCGACAGTGACCTGGGGATGTTTGTGGCACTGACGGAGTTGGGAAAGCCTGATGCTGATCAGTGGAACCAACGCCTGGATCTCCTGGAGACGAGCAGGGCCGCTGTGAACATGGTCTGCAGGCAGAATTACAGGCTGGGGGCCCCCTTCACCGTGGAGAGAAATGGTGGGTGAAGGTGAGGTCTAGGGGTTCTCCATGAGAACCTTGTAATCGGCATTTAAAAGGTTTTAAGTTACATATCACCTATCTGTCTGCCTATTATTTATTTGTGTGTGTTCTATGCATGCCACAGTGCACATATGGAGGTCAGAGGACAATTTGAGGCAGTTGGTTCTCTCCTTCTGTCATGAGGATCCTAGAGATTTGAGCTCAGGTCATCAAGCATGAATGGTTGGCTTAGATTTTTTTTTTAAAGGTTTTTCGAGACAGGGTTTCTCTGTATAGCCCGGACTGTCCTGGAACTCACTCTGTAGACCAGGCTGGCCTCAAACTCAGAAATCCACCTGCCTCTGCCTCCCAAGTGCTGGGATTAAAGGCGTGTGCCACCACTGCCCGGCTCTTTAGATGTTTTAAAAACCTACTTTAACAAGGGTTCTAAAATGCTTCAACCTCCCCTCTAGCCCATCACCCACCACAGGTAGTAGAAAGGAAAGGAAAGGTTAATAGGAAACAGGGGGTGTTGACCTGCTTAGAAATAGTTCTTTGTGCTCTTCCACTCTTCACTGTCAGCAGTCCAGTCCTTTAGCAAAACACCAACATGAATCAGCAGCTGCGGTCCAGTTCACTTGGCAATCACCACTCATGAATTCGCAATGGCAGTTTTATCCGGAAGAGACCACAAGGCTCTAGCAATTGACTGGAGTCTGCAGAAATATGAAGAAGCTGCAGGAATATCACGAGAAGTTCTTTGGCGAGTTACTCTCTATGAAGTCATGACAAGTGAAGATAAGCCATGTGATGCAAGGCAAACCAATGCTAGGGTGTCATTGGTAAAGACTAGTGAGGCAAGGCGAACCAATGCCAGAGCTTACTCCCACTGTCTGTGGGGCCATATTTATATTCTGTCCAAAAATCATGCTTTCTCTCACTTGTCAGCTTCAGCAAAACATCCTTTCATCTGTCTGCCCCAGCAAAACATCATCTGACATAACTGAGTTTCCAAAAGAAACCAGAAATTTCCACTTCCTTCTAGAACCTTAGAGTTTTCAGGGTCTTTGAGAACTGGTTTAGCCTTGAATACAGTGGGTGACTTTGGGGGAACCCGGCAGAGTCTAAATCCTCATTGTGGGCATCCACACACGTTTCTCAGTCCATGGTGTTGGGTATTCATACTTCCAGCTTCTACTTGGCTGGTCTGAGAAATGGCTCAGGGTGGTCACAGTCCCTATAGACCCTCCTGTTCTTGCTGTGCTGTTTATTCTCTTGCCAGTGCCTCCGGAGGTAACAGTGTACCCAGAGAGGACCCCACTGCTGCAGCAGAACAACCTGCTGCTCTGCTCAGTGACAGGCTTCTACCCCAGGGACATACTCGTCAGGTGGTTCCGGAATGGACAGGAAGAGAGGTCTGGGGTCCTGTCCACTGGCCTTGTTAGGAATGGAGACTGGACCTTCCAGACGACGGTAATGCTGGAAGTGACCCCACAGCTCGGAGATGTCTACAGCTGCCTCGTGGAGCACCCCAGCCTCCCCAGACCTGTTTCTGTGGCATGGAGTGAGCTTTACTTAGTTTTCTGTATTTCTGGGCCTTGGCCTGTATGGGCTGTCACTTCTGTGTTCATTTCATGTTGATAACAAGGCAAGTTTTCCTGATATAATAATCCTAGTGCCAGGGCAGGAGAAAACAGGACAGACATCCATCTTCTGATTGTCCAGGAGATAGATAAGGAGGCTGTTAACCCACAGCTTGCCTCTAACCCTAGGACCTAGCATCCTTTACTTCTTTAACCTCTAGGGATACTGTCATGGGATCTAAGTCAGGGATAGGCCTGGGGAAGTGGCCAGCTTGTCATATAATTGAGAGGACCAGAGTTTGATTCCCCAGAGTCTATATAAAAAAAAAAATCTAGGTGCTGTGGTCTCTGCTTGTAGGCCCAGAGCCAGGGAGATGGAGACAGGCAGATCCCTGGGGACCACAGACTAGCCAGCCTAGTCTACTTAGTGAGTTCTAGGTCAGTGAGGGACATTGAACTATAGCAAGAATAGCAAAGGAGGAAGGTACCTGAGGAATGACACCAGAAGTTGACTTCTGATCTATGCAAGTGTGTGCATGCACACACACATGCACACACACATACACTCACATACATACATAGACATACACACCCTCATATACATACATTCACACACACACACACACCCAGAATCAGTGACAGATGAGACAACTCCATTTCTAGATTTAACTCTTCCCTGAGCAGTACTGAGCTTTAGGGTTTTAAGAAGTGGGGTCCAGTACTGAGAGCACCACACTGACTTGAAGTCTCATTTTTCCACAGTAGCTCAGTCTGAATATTCCTGGAAAAAGATCCTGAGTGGAGCTGCAGCGTTCCTGCTTGGCCTAGTTGTCTTCCTGGTGGGGGCAGTTATCCATGTCAAGGCCCAGAAAGGTAGCAGACCTCTGAAGAGAACCTTCCCACCTGCCCTGTGCTTGCCACTTCCAGCTTCCTTTACTGTAAAGATCTGAGGGAGGGAGGGAAGGCTGGCTGTGCTCAGGCATCCCTGGGACAGGCTTTTCTAAAGCCAGGGGAGTCCAGGATAAGCAAAGACAAGTATTGACACTGAGGGCCACAACCTCCCCTGGGAAAACCACATGTGATCCTGACTGGGGATCCCATTCTCTCTCTTTCCAGCGTCTGTGGAGACTCAGCCTGGCAATGAGGTAAGCACTCTGGTTCCTTGTCTTTGGCAGATCATGGCCTTGTTCTTCAGCCAGAGCAAACATCATGGAGTGGGGGAGGCAGAGGTGCCTCTGGCTGGGTGATTGTCTCTTGAGTTTCTGGAATTGTTGGTGTGATGCCTCCTGAGACCCTCCCACTCTTCCTGCAGGCCTCAAGAATGCTTCTCCCACCTCACTCCTAGTAAGATCCTAATGGAAGCTTCTCCCCCCAGAGCCTGAAGAAGTGTAAAAAGGCTGGGGACCCAGGTTTGGGAAAGGATGCTGGCTCTTCAGTCTGTGAGATGTTACCATGGATTTTCTCCTTCCATCCTGTACCTCAGTAGTCCTTCATTTCCAGGACATGATCCATAATCTTTCTTAGGACCTAATTCATTCTAGACCCAAGTTACTTTGGTCGCCATGGCCCAATCCTAACCCTGTGACCGGAGAACCTCCAAGCCTTTCTGTCTTCCATCCACAGCTTCTAGTCTTCCATAGAGTCGCCTTAAAAATCCTTATTGTAAAATAAAACAGTCACAGGCAACTGTAGTGAATGTATAATTCAATGACTTATTCAAGGTAAAAACCGTGTAATTACCTGCTCAGGTCAAAACACAGATAGTGGTGGTCTCTGTGGAATTCCTCAGGCACCTCAGCCAATAAACACCCACAGCACACACTATCCATGTAGGGTGATTGGATACAGCCAAGCATATATTTCTCTATACAATAATCCATGATCTTTCTTGTCTCCCAGACTTTCAGATGTTTGACTTCATCCTTTCTTTCTGTTAGGATTGAAGCCTCAGCCTCCAAGGTGAAGAGTTCCCACCCTCAGATTTTGTTGCCTGCACACATGTATTGCCATCTGACACACTCTTTTGCCCTTTATGTTTTCTATGAGTTGGAACCTGATGCAGACAAGGTGGTGGAACTCTGGTTTGATTCTTTTGTAGTCTGGAGAAAGCCATGACCATTTCTGGAGTCACAGTTTGTCTTCTTGTTTCTCTTTTCATGATGTTACAACAAGCACTGATGCTAATCGCCCCATCTGCTAATTTACTGGGGATTGCTACATTGTGACAGTCTAAGTCTAGGATTCTTTGTTTATCTATCCCATGTTGTTGGTTCTGCTCACTGTTACCTGCACTAGAAATTCAATGTCGATGATGGTAAAACTGTTGGTGTCTTGCAGTGGTTCCAACCTACACAGTGCCACTGCTGCAGGATTCTATACATATATTTCCCCTCTGTTAGCTTTTAAAATTTATCTGAATTATTAAAAATGTATTTTTATTGGATATTCTACTTATTTACATTTCAGATGTTATCCTCTTTCCCCATTCCTCCCCCCACCCAAGGAACTCCCTA